CAGATTTAAATTGTGTTAAATCCCTCTTCCTGCCATCAACAAAAAAATCTCAATTATTACTTTCAAATGATGGCATTTACTATATCTATGGTCCAGACAATGAAGCATGCTGGTTCTGAATATTCAGGATAAAGGTTAACTTGGTAAGAAGGTCTCAAAATAATGCAAATACTCCTCATTAGCTAATTGCAGAACTAAAAAAAAACCATTATGCATTTCCAGCCTTAGTACAGCTCCAGAAGTATCTTTCACCCTCCCCAAAAACTCCCATCCCTATTTGTACATCCACAACTATATTCTTAGGACTATGAGCAGTCTCCATTATTTATAAGTGCTAGGAAGTGTTAAGTAAGCACTGGTTCCAAATATAGATTTGAGTACCCCAAACCCTTGCCAGACAGTAAAGCTACAGCTATCCTCTTCTTCCCCTTTTTCTTTTAAGAGAACTTGCTCCCAGTCCTACCTTTCTCCAGCCCACATCAGCCATTTTACATTTTGTCTATTTCTCCTCCTTTTGGTACACAGGGAGACTATGTAGTCTTATGTGTGCACCAATCTTCCATAGGACTTGCTCATATGAGCAAAGTTAAGCATACGCTTAACAGCATTAAAATTAAGGGTAGAACTCGCATCAATGTCACTGTAGCAATGATGTCTCCTATTGATTTCATTTGGGCTACATAACATACGAATGGCCATATGATGTCAGATCCATGGTCCATCTAGTCTATTATCCTATCTTCTGATGTTACACATTGCTAGATGCTTCACAGGAGACGATCAAAGAAGCCAATTGTTTAGTGATCCAGACCCTGTCGTCCAGACCCAGCTTCTGATAATCAGAGATTAATGGATACTGGGAACAAGGAACTGTGTCTCTGACCTTGTCGGCTAATAGCACCTATTCCACCCTAAACTTATCTAAGGGTATGTCTACCCTGCAAGCTTACTTCAGAAAAAGCTATTACAGAAGATATCTCCCGGAACAGCTTATTTCAAAATAGAGCTTGCACATTACAGGAAAGCCTCAAAATTAGTCTGAGGCAGGCTCCCCTAATGTGGACACACTATTTCCATTCAGAGCCCCAGGAGGCACTGGGGAGGAATAACTTAGAATTGCTTTGGTGAGGAACCATTTCAACATAGCAACAGTGGAGCATCCACACACACCCTCTTCCGAAAAAGCTCTTTCGGAAGAGGGTGTGTGTGGATGCTCCACTGTTGCTATGTTGAAGTAGCTCCTCACCAGGGCCTTCAGTGCCTCCTGGAGCTCTAAAACGAGATAGCACATCTACATTAGAGAAGCCTGCCTCGGACTAATTTTGAGGCTTCCCTGTAATGTGGACAGTCTATTTCGAAATAAGCTAATCCAGAAGATATCTTCCGGAATAGCTTTTTCCAAAATAAACTTGCAGTATAGATGTAGCCTGTTTGCGCAAATATTCAGACAAAAATAGACATCGGATTGGTGAGCCGAAAAAGAGCTTTTTCGGAAGAGGCATTTTTCCTCATGGAATGAGATTTACCAACATTGGAAAAAGCCCTCCATTACTTCAATTTTCTTTCGAAATAACACAATTGCTGTATGGATGCTAGTATTGTTTTTCCAGAATAACGACCATTATTCCAGAATAACAGTGCAGTGAAGATGCACCCTAAGTGGGGTTTGGGCCATTTATCCTTTTGGCCCTGGAAACAAGTTTCACAGTATGACTGTGTGTTCTGTGGAGAAGTACTTTATGTTTGTTGTAAACGTGCTCACTACTAATTCCATTGGATGACCCCTGCACTTCTTGTACTATGTGATGGAGTAAATAACAAATCCATATTATGTTTATCCACGCCATGCATAACTGTATAGATCTCTAATATATCCTCCTGCCTTAGCTGTCTCTTTCCTATGATGAACAGTCCTAGTCCTTTTAATCTCTATTCATTTGGAAGCTGTTCTATGTCCTTAATATGTTTTATTGAATTCTCTGTACCTTTCCTAATTCTACTTGGGTAAGAAAAGTCAGATCTACTTAAGCACTTTGCAAAAGCAAAGTCTTGTGAGTAAATATAGTAATATCATTTCTATAAACCTGATCACACATACACAAAAGCTGGGTTGCGACATGGATGCTTATGGGGTTTATTTTTTTAGCTTTATTTGAAAATGTTCATGGAGCACTCTGGAACTTTTCAAACAAAACTTATATTTCCTACAGGCCTCAGTATTACCCGTGGGCTACGTCTACACTGGCCCCTTTTCCGAAAGGGGCATGTTAATTTCAGAGATCGTAATAGGGAAATCCGCGGGGGATTTAAATATCCCCCGCGGCATTTAAATAAAAATGTCCGCCGCTTTTTTCCAGCTTTTAGAAAAGTAGGAATAAGATCCTCTGGAAAAGGGCACTTTTTCCGGAGGATCGGGGCCAGTGTAGACCCTCTTTTCCGGCTTTTCTAAAAGCCGGAAAAAAGCGGCGGACATTTTTATTTAAATGCCGCGGGGGATATTTAAATCCCCCGCGGATTTCCCTATTACGATCTCTGAAATTAACATGCCCCTTTCGGAAAAGGGGCCAGTGTAGACGAGCCCTTAGAGTATTAGTGATTTACTTTTTTATTTCCATAAATAACAAAAAAAGCTAAAGCTAATTTTAGTGTATCAGATATCAAGTTACAATTTTTAGAAGAAGAATCTTGAGAGGCTCTTTGTGCTTTTCTATAGTGTGAAACTTTGAAATAAAGTATTTAAGGGAACAAATTCCTCCCATAGATGCACATATTATCATCTATTAGAGGCCACAACATGACCTATTCCCCGTAAAGAACTCTAATACAATATATAGAGATAATTTATGTAAGCTTAATATTTTTGGTTCTATCATGATCTAAATCAGAGCATTGATATTTGCATTTCTAAATATACTCCGCTACTTTGTTACTGAAGGTTTGCTTATAGATGTTACATTAATTATCTCTTCCTATTTTTAGCAAACTTTTCTTAAGGAATATTTTCCAAAAACCAAGCCTTAATGGACCAAGCTGATTGTGAATAGAAAAGTCAAAGACGATTATCTATCTAATAAGGTGATCAAAACATGACTCTGTTTTGACATATAGACAGATTGATAAAGTGTTACATGATATTTCAGCTAGCAGGCAAACACAACTCTTTGGGTTTTTTTTTTGTTTGGTTGGTTGGTTGATTAGTTTTTTTGTTTTTTTTTACAGATAAAAGAAAACAGAGAATTTAATTGTCCATTTCAATTAATTATTTTTTTAAAAAGTAAGTGTTGCTAGATGTTGGTTGCATTTGTGTGTTCACAATGAGTTTTGTCCCAGCTATGCAAAGATTTCATTTCCCGATGCCCACAGATCCACTCAGTAGCAAAGGTACCCTGTCAGGTTTATTGTTGAGAAAGCATAGTCCTCACACTCTGCATCAATGGTTTCAGTTACTCTAGCACATGTATAGCCATGATAGTGGACACAGCTCAGTGAATGGTGGGACTTTCCATTCCTTCCTTGTTTGGCCAAAATACACTGCCTCTGAGACCCCACTTTTTGTAGGGATACAAACAAGTTATGTATTGCTCCTTTGATGTAATTAGTTATCACCCCTTCAGTTTACACATTAGATCAAAACATCTCTATCCATCATATTGACGTATTAACTTTATTTTTGGAGGGAGGGTGTCAGTGTGTCCTATCATTTTGGGGGACTGTTTGTACCACACTTAGTATTGGGGTATTCTAGTTCCACCCTACTGGAATGTGCTTGCATGAGTGCCTAATACTTCTTAGGAATGCATCTATTCTTGCAATGCCAGCCCTGTTCTTTCCAGTTTGTGTGGGCCTCCATGCAGGCAGGGAGAGCCTGACTTCCCACAGCCTGCCTTTTGCTAACTTTGCTTTATGTTAGCAGGGCCTCACTAACTACTCTAGTTCAGGCTTCAGACCTCATAACAAGACTCCCATACCAGACCTCATTTCTCAGGTTCTCTCTACTAAATTAAGGTTATAATCATGTAGGAAAAAATAGCAAGGTACCAGTTATAAATTTAAATTGCAAGCTTATTGGTTCTCATGATACATTTTCACACATACATGATTTTTTCTACTGCCTATTGAGGTCAAATAATTTTTTGAGGGAGATTTAATAACATAAAAATGTTTTTAATACCTCTTCATTCCTGTCAACATTTGCTCTATGCATATTAAAATTCTCTGTACTTCATTAACTAAAATACATTTTAACATTCCTTTCTGATTGTAGGTTAGCATTTATATAGCAGTGAAATCTTAATAGAATTCAAGTATTGAAAGGCTTTTTTTAAATATATCTAGAAGAGCTACAACCCAGTATGACACAATTGAGATGAGCTGAATTGAACTTTTGAATATATAATGTCTTGATTTAACTATTTTTCCTATAATGGCCTGCTGTTAAGTGATAAAACAATTACATTTTTAGCAATATTACAAATGGGTTGCTTAGAAAAATCTCTAACCTAGTGTACATTATCCAGTTTTAATGAAATTCCCTGTACCTCATAAAAATATAACACTAGCTACAGCTGGAAGGTACTCAGGTTGAGCTACTTAAATAGATATAAAACTGTTCATTCTTTTCATTACATTTTGCAGAACCTGTATTGCTGGGTTCACATCCAATTAGGAAAATCAAATGTTCTATTCACAATGCTGAGCTCCCTCTCCTGAAGATTAACATACTTATTTTGTTTTCTCACATAGATGAGGGATAAGGACACTTTTTGAGTCAAAGCACAGGAACACAAAGCTTCAGATAAAAGTGAATTAAATTTAAGTGTTAGATCTTGCCTGCACTCATAAACCTTTTACTTCCCTATAGTGCTTTCTCTAAAGTATTCTCTAAACAAACCTCCCTTGAATTCCAGTTTAGAGGGTGCAGAAACTCTCATCTGGATTTTCAGGTGGAAGAAATTAATTTGAATGATCTGTAAATAAACCCAAAGATGTCAAGCTCCTACCTTTCGGGAATGTATTTCTTTCACATACAAGGGAAGTAGAAATTCAGATATGCCTTCAAGTCGAATTCCTTTTTTGGTGACTCTCAGATTCCCCATTCCATCCTACAAATAACAACATATATATTTCACTTTTGGAAGTAACCACTGTGTAGAAATAAAAACCATTCAAGCCCAAAGTTTAGAAGCACTGAATGCTAAGAATGCTGAAGAAGGAAGTGAGGTGACAAAGACTCTCAGAATACACAAAGGTGCTTGAGAGAGCAAAAATGTCATGCATGTGTGGATAACAACAATTCATTCCACCTTTCAAAAGCTGCAAAAACATTTAAATATTAAAAAACAGTCATCTAATAGGTTCGCTAGCTTAAAGATAAACATTTCTTTCACAATCACTAGTCAAAGTCTGTGCTGGGTCTGTGTGAGCAGAAGGATGATGGTTTTTGAAGTCCCCTGAAAATTCCAGACACATATCAGTTCTGAGTAAAAATCAAAGATGGTAACAAAGAGGATCTATATTTAACATTCTATCAGATATGAAGAGGCAGTCTACACTTGAATTGACGGCAAATCCTGCTCTTTCTTTTGTAGTCCTCTAGCAAAGCTAATGCTATTCCACTGAGCAAAGGCTAGGCCAGGATTTGGGGAGAAAAGCAAAGTATGATCCCTGCATGCTACCACTCACTACAGAACTGAAGTCAGCTTCATCAGCCCTAACTTTATAAGGATGCATTATCCATGTACTACTAGCATTTCTTTTCTGGGAACACAAGAGACAGGGACACTGCTCAAGACACAGCAGATAGAGAAGCAACCATGGAGCAGCATTGTAACTGTACACTGATATCTGCAGAAGCAGCATTCACCAAAACATATTTTAGCAACTGGGATTATGAAATCTTAGCTGGGATAAACTTTGCCCTATCTGAGTATGTGTATTTTATTTTCCCCCTATTTTCTTTTAAACCATGTTGTTATTTAAGTACAACTTGAATTACAGTAATACAATGGAAAGAGCCTGCTCCGCTTACTTAGAGCAAAATTCCCAGTGGTTTCACTGTCAACAAAATTGGGGCAAAATCAATAATCTCTAATGTGCGGAAAGGAAGCATCAAAAGATAGCTGCTGAATCTGTGTATGCTACATGCTTTTCATCAGGCTTCTCAGGACACATTCTGAAATATATAAAGAGGACTTATTGGAATAAAAGAATGCTGTCATAAATATGTACATATGTAACAGAGCCTGGATCCTGTGTCCACTTTTGAGGACCTATAAGGATCATGGAAACAAAAGAATATGCATGGCTGAGACATCCCAAGCTGCTGATGACATTACAGAGTAAGAACGATGCCTCAAGCTTGGCACCCCACCATGCACCATGGGAAAATACTCCGCAGGGCTCCTCACAGTCAGCAGGCCACAGAATGGGTACTTTGAATACTGAGATATAACCAGTGGGGCAACACCACAGCAATCCAATAGGCTAAAATCCCATGTCCACATCAACCACTTCTCAAACTAGAAAGAACTGGCTGCAGGCATGCTACACAGAAGCTTCCACAAATTAAGCTTTGCCCCTCAAGCCCAAGACCTCATGCTCATATTATACTTGAACTTGAGCCCTTAGAAAAATTCAATGAGGAGTCCTGTGGCATCATAGAGACTAAATTATTTATTTGGGTAAAAGGTTTTGAGGGTAAAACCCACTTCATAATTTGGAGTGGAAGTAACAGAAGCTTGAGTATATATAAGCAGGGCTTTAGTATATATAAGCAGGGCTTGACCACTCGCTTGTGGTGAGTAGATTACACCCCGGAAGAGCCGGCACGGAGTGATCTGCACATGCGCAGAATGATCTGCGCATGCGCAGAGCGCAGAACCGCATGGCTGGCGAGCAGGGCTCGCCTCCGTTTGGCGAGCCCTGTATATAAGGAAAAAGTTGCTTCTTTTAATGAAGCTAATCAAGTTAGGTTAGGAATAGGTCGTTCACAACATTTATTGGGTAGATGTGACCATTCAGAAAAGGTAAATTGCCCTTATAGTACGTTAACAAGTTGAGACCCTTATGTTACATACACAAGTTCTCTGGACATTCAGTAATGGATTTGAAAGTAGCCATCCTTCTACAAAAGAATTTCAAAAAACTAGTTACAAAGGGAGACAGATGAACTGGAGTTCATTTGCAAATTCAACACTCTCAATTTAGGATTGAATGATGATCTCAATTGGTTAACACATTACAAAAGCAATTTCCCCTCTCTGGATAGTCACATCTCCACACCAAATGCTGTGAATCTTTAAAACTCTTATTTATTTATACATTCACATGGTTTTAAAACACTAAATATAATTTGCATAATTTACTTTCATTGTGACATACTATAATCAAAATGTCAGACACATATTCCACTACTGTTTTTTAAACCAAGAAAGTTAGTTTGCTTCTATTAGTAACTGTTTATTGTAAATATTACATTCAGGGTTGTGGTAGCCATGTTTGTTCCAGAATTCAGAAACACAAGGTGGATATGGTAAAAATCTTTTATTTGGACTGACTTGAAGAAATAGCTGTAATAATATTGTAAGTACAGTAGGCTTCCGATAATCTGGAACATATGGGACCTAGGTGGTGCCGGATTATGAGGAGGTACTATAAAATGGTTATATATATACTGTATACATTATATACTGTATATAAAGTGTTCTTAACCCTTTTTATTGTACATACTGTATGCAGTATACTATAATGTTTTAGTTTTTTTAAGCCTTCTTTACCCTTTTTGCTCAGCTCAGCTGCTGCCGCTGTAACCTTGTGACTCATTTTTTGCCGAAGCTCACTCACTAGGCTCTTGCCATTTTGATGTCAGACTATCAGGAGTGCCGGACTCTTGGATGCCAGACTATTGGAGTTTTACTGTATTAGTAATTCAATCACAAAAAAATTAGTAAAGAATTTTGGCCCCAGTCCTGAGGCACTTGTAGCCACCATCAGCCCAAGGCAACCCTAGAGCTGGAGAATGCAAGAGATACACACAATAGTCCTACAAAAAATAAGGTATCTCTGTTTCAGTATTGTGTTGCACCTGGTTCTATGAAACATTAAGGATTCATTCCAATGAGAGCACCATATATACACAGGTATCAGGTGATTACTAATTAAATTACCCATGCCTATTGCTGAACATCTACCTCCAACCATCCTGGAGATAGGGACAAACTGTATTGACCAACTTCATGTGGCCCAAACAAAAGTAATTTGAAATGGACAGTGAACACAGGCAACACAGGGACTGACAGAGAGTCAGACAGAGGCAAAGAGCTGCAGATGCGTAGTCTACCTCACTCTGCTCCAATATGAGGTATGTATACGTGAGCTTAGGGTTGCCACATTAGAAGTACAAAAAACTGAGATACCTGGTTTGATCTGGGCCCATAAAACTTCACAGCAGGCAGTGTGCACTGAATAATTTTGCAGATTTCCCAGGATAACTACTTTAAAAAGGGGATAATCCCAGGAAAACTTGGCCAAGTAGCAACCAATCATACCTGACACAAGAGTGGAGACATCTAAATCTGATATGAAAAATTAGGATTTGGATAAGACAGTACGGGGTGCTATAGTTTTTGTTATTATTGTTGTCTTAATCCTTTACCTCTGTCTGTTATATTCCTATGGATAAAAAAAAAAGATATTTTGCTTTGAGCAAGTTGTTCTTAATCATTGCAATTTCACACTGTTCACAGTTCCTAATGGGGAAGCCTATTGCAGGGGCCAAACTGCAGATCAATTTGTTCACAGCCAGAGAACAGCAGTCCTGTGACCAGGTGACTCAGTGTAATAGTGGAGTGAACTTCAGGCACGGATTCTACTTGAGGAAAGTTTAAGCCTATCACTTGGAAAGGGTGCCCTCAGAGAGGGACTAAGCAAGGGGTCAAAGTTGTAGTTAACCTTTCAAAACAACAAGTAGCCCTGTGGCACATTAGTCTCTACTTAGTGCCAAAGTACTACACTTTGTTTTTAAAGTTACAGAGTAACACGGCTACACCTCTGAGACTGTTCAACTTATAACATAACAATGACATAAAGCAACTCCATCCCTTATCTATGGCTAGTGCAGAATCCATATCTACAGCAACCATGAGCCCTGCTGTTCCCCGACTACATATTGGACTGCTGGGGCTGTTCACAATCCCTGGTGCAAGATCAAGCAGCACTCGGATTGCTTTATCTTGAAAGATTTGTGTGGTCAAGAGAGGGCCCAAGAATAGGGGAGTGCAAACGGGAATTAAAGACCTTGAATACTTACCTGCCTCCTGATCTCAGGTATGGGCTTTTGGGGCCTTTGTAGTTCCAGAAACACATCAGAAATCTTAGTTTTTACAAGGATTTCAAAGAACACCAATTCTTCTTATCTCTACCTCCCACCACCTTCAAACACCATGCTATTCAGGGTTTTTTTTTCTTTCAGAGAATGCCAAGTAATGGGATGGCCACAAGTAGAAGATTATAAGATAAAACCCATATAGAGAGGTATTCAGGTGGAGGAATGTCTCTTAATTTAGATCAATTCATTATGAAACAAATTTAACACTTGAAATTAAACCATAAGTGACACACTGCACTTCTGGTACAATTCCAGGAATAAAGAAACATTGATTATAAGACACTAATGAAGAAATTAAACTAGAACCAACTGTGGGGTGCTTGTAAAAAAATATCTATTTTATTATACCAGTTGTGAAGAACTATCCATCCCACCTGATTCTCTTTGTTTATTTCCTGGCCATCAACAGAAAGAGAGAGATTTCAATTACTTTCCCCACATCCATTGCTATCTGGCATCAACTGGCACCCCTCAATCTTCCCTTTCCAGATGAACAAAATTTGGTCTGTGATGAAGAGTGCTCAATTTGAGTCAGTATTAACACCCATTCAATGTTATAGCCCTTATAACAAACAGTTACTGCAATGAGAGCTAAGCAAATAGCTGATTTTTTCAGTTTGGTAGCCAGACTGGAAAAAAAAATCTCCAGATCACACTAAATATTTTATTAAATAAGAAAGTGTACAAATCTCACATAAGCCAGCAGCGGGATTCAAG